CGTACGTACTTACTACTACTTACTTACTTTTACTTTTACTTTACGTACGTAACTTAACGTTAACGTTACGTACGTCCGTCGTCGTAGTAGTCTACTATATATATATATATATATATATATATATATATATATATATACTACCCAACTGAGGCCTCGTAATATCTGCAAACTGGGAGATGCTATGATGTAATAATAATCACATAGTGAGAAAAACTTAAGATGTTTTGAGAAAGATGATGTCAACAATACTACACATGCAACGTATGATGCTCACCGAGTTATATAACGAAATTTATTATAACTATCACCTTTAAAATAATTAACTTTAAACACTCTTGTTATAAAAACTAAATAATTATTAAATATTAGGTCACTAAATAAATTAAATGATAACTCTTACACTAAACAGTTTTGTATATCGAATACTTTAAAAACTTTTTCAGTGATATATTTCCTGGGACCATTTTTATCACTTCCTTTGAAAAGAGGAGTAACATTAGCCAACTTACAATCCTCTAGCACCAGCCCACTGTACAAGGACTTGCACAAAATAGTAACAAGTTGCTCACCTATTTAACTTTCAAAACCCTTGAGGAAATGTTATCTGGCCCAGGAGCTTTATCATTCTTTTAACTTCCAAATTTTTTCATAACATGTTCAGATTTAATGTGATAATCTTATCAAGTCTTGTTTCCATCTAGCATCTGTTCAGGACAAGGAATATTGTTTAAATCTTCATGAGTAAAAATTGAAGAAAAAAGGTGAATTTGATTATTGAGCCATCTCATAATCATCAGTTATGAGCCTTCCTTTACCATTCTTCAAAGGCTCTACTCCTATTCTAATATCTTACTTACCTTTAATACATTTAAAGAAACTTTTACAGCTAACCTTTTCTTTTTATACCCTTTTTTTGATTTCCTGTTTGATCAATCCTCTTGGTCTTCTATAATACTCTAAGACTCCTGTCGTAAGAGTCAGTTTAACTGTTTTAATTTATGATGCTTTTATTTAATTTTATTCCTTATACCCATTGCCAGCCAACCTGGTTTTTTACTTGCAGCCACCCTTTTTTTTTTTCTAAAAGGAACATGTCTACTTTTAATATTGGAAAATGTATTTTTAAACATTTGATCAGTATCTCCAATTAATTCAGCTGCCAAATTCATAGCAGATAATTTTTATTGCATTCCTTCAAAATTTGGTTTTTAAACTTGTAACCAAATATCATTATTCCCGATCTCCATATGCAGTAAAGCATCAAACCTAATACAGCAATGATCACTTGCACTCAGATGTTCACTAATCTTCACTCTGTCAACAATTTCTGCATTAGAAGTTAACAGTAAATGTAAAATAGCATTGTTCCTAGTATGTTTCATAACCAGTTGGTAAAGAAATCCATCCTGAACAGTTTCTAAAAACCTGCTATGAGTATGACTAATGATTTATCATGTATAAATAGTCTTCTGGGTGGAAATAAAATATTTTATAAGAAATACTTTTTTTTATTTTCAGCTAGCTTGACTGGAGCAACAAAAACATATCTAGCTTCATTAACATTTTTCCAATTTAGGTTAGCTACCAATCTTTCTCAGAATATCTTGCAGCTTCTTGTTGGATATACTAGACTGTTTAGTGTTAGACTTATTATTTAGTTTATTTGGTGATTTAATATTTAATGGTTATTTAGTTTTCATAACAAGAGTGTTAAAAGTTAATTATTTTAGAAGTAACAGTTGTGACAAATTTTGTTGCATAACTTGGTAAGAGTCGTATATTGTGTGTGTAGCTCAACTGTTGACTTCATCTTTCTCAAACCTCTTAAGTTTATCTCGCTATATGAGTATTGTTACATTATAGCATCTCGTAGTTTGTAGAAAGTTTGAGGTCTCAGTTGGAAAATATACAAATATATGTGACCAAGTGAGTGGAAGTCAGGTTCAGTCAAAAAAAGCTATAAAACATGAAGTTAGCTGGTGTGTCAGTGATTAGCCTTAACGGGTGATTTCTATAGTGTGTTCACAGCTGTATTGTAACAACAGAGATAGAAAAATAATTTGACTTGTCAAGTGGGCTCTAAAATAACTGAACCAGCTTGAATGGATTTTTGATGAAAAAAAAAGATATAATTATTTAAAGCTCTAGATATAACTATGGTAACTAACAAAAGAAGCAAGTGAAGTTAGACTGTGTGATTGTTAGTATAGTTGTTACAGGTGATATTTTAAGGTGAGTTTCACAGTTTAACAGAGATAAGGTGAATAATTTGTCTTGTCAAAAGGTGTTCTAAAGTAATTGAACCTGCCTGTGTGGACTTTGATGAAAAGGAGACAATTATTTAAAGTTCAGGATACAACTGTGGTAACTAACAAAAGAACCAAGTGAAGTTAGACTGTGTGATTGTTAGTCTAGTTGTTACAGGTGATATTTTAAGGTGAGTTTCACAGTTTAACAGAGATAAGGTGAATAATTTGTCTTGTCAAAAGGTGTTCTAAAGTAATTGAACCTGCCTGTGTGGACTTTGATGAAAAGGAGACAATTATTTAAAGTTCAGGATACAACTGTGGTAAGCCATGGGGTAACGTAAGTGAATTATTCATTGATACTATTGTGATAAGAGTAGAGAAAAATAATTCATCTTGTCAGTTGGATTCTAGAGTAATTGAATCAGCCTGTGTGGACTTTTGACAGGAAAAGATAATTATTTAGAATTTTAGATACAACTGTGATATCCTATAGTATAAAGAATTTTAGTACACACCTTATTTTGAGTATATTATTTTAAAACAAGTGAATTGTGTGCTGTCCATTTATTGTTCAAATTTATTGCCAACAAGTCACAGACATCTATATAAAAATCCCAGCCCACCTGACACTTCTGGAGGTTGGCGTTTGAAAAACATAACTGATTTCAAAAAACAAAATGATTGCTGGTACTGAAGCCCTTTTACATATATGTAGATGTAACTATGTTTCTTGCCATATTCTTGTTAGTGTTAAGAATAAAGGTATCTTCCCTAGTGGTATCTTTCTCATGCTATATGAGGAAACATTCCTACCATAACCTTAAGAAATTTGTCAGACTTAGAAATTACAGAATAACTTATGTCAGTTTTCTAAAATTATAGGTTGAAGTAAATATTGTTTTAAAAGGGCATTAGTAATGTGATGCAACATGTATGTTGATCATTTGCTGCTTTACATAATTTTCAGAGAATTAATAAATAAAATACTTGTTTAAATTCACTTTTTAAAATTCAGAATAGAAAGAGAACAGTTAAGAAAGATACATTGAAGGTGTCATTAAAATGTATTTTTATTGAATTGCTTTTGTAAACCATTTACATGAATAACTATTGTGTAACGAGTTTAAAAAGCTTTATGTTGTATAAAAGTACCTTAAGGAACTTTCAGGTTGTGAAATCTGAAGTGTTAAAAATGTAAGTAAAATTATTTCTTTGATTTTTTCAAATGAAAAAATAATAATGCTTATCAGGTAAACCATAGGGCTTTTTTGTATGTACAGATTTACAAATTTTATGTTAAAGATTAAATTTCAACTATCTTCTAAATAATTTAAAGGATAAAACATCATAAAAACATTTTGTTAAAAGTTTGAGTCTCAAGCTTTTCAGTAAATAAAAAATCTACAAAAAAGTTATCATTGCCTATACATTGAAAGGTAAATAAGTATTTTTCTTTTAATTCATAGGAAACGGAAGGTTTAGAGAAAAAGCGGCAGGCTTTACAAAATGAAATTCAGTTGTTAACTTCTCAGAAGGAGGAACTTGACTTTCTGCTGGCAGCACACAAGGCCACCTGTAAGCTGCTCACTTCCCACAAGTCTGTTGAGAATGGAAAAGAGTCTTCGAATAATATGATTCTAAGAAACGGCCCTAACTCATCCTCTGGGGAAGGAATTCTAAACAAATCAAAGCGAGTTTCTAGGCCAACATCCCTTCCAGTTTCATCTACGTATATGAGCTCTTCAGATCTCCCAACCACAGGAGTGTTTAACATGGATTCTCTAATGGAAGGAGGGACTGGATTGACACCAGTGTCCTCTAGTGTTTCCTGTTCAGGACAGCAGAAAAAGTCTGGCAGTGAGTTGTCCAGTCCTGATAGTGTAAATCCTCCAAAATTAGTGTCCCTCTGACTCAGGATTAAAACTTCCTTATGTTTAAGTTGTACGAGCTCCTCAGGCTTTGACTTTGTCATAATATTTACTCAATTTATGTTCAGTTTCCTTGTGCTTGTTTTAATTTTCCTTAAAATGTTTTTTTTTTCTCAGTAGGATCTCTTTGAAACTACTATTTCTTGTCAGTTTTTTAATGTGGTTATTTCTTGCAATTAAATTTATTTGAAACTAGATTTTTTGTCTGTTTTGGTCTATTGTATAAACCATATGTTATTATTTCTAACTATATGTATATAAACAAAAATGTGGCATTTCTCTGAGTTTGTTCTTGAGTTATGATGAAACAGTTGTTGTCTCTCAAAGATGTAATTTAGCTTAAAAACATTCTGCTGATGCTTGTAGATACTTTCAAACATTGGGAAGGTTGTCTGTTTTTTCTCTTACTTGTACTTTTTTTTTTTTCTCTTTGTTAATGTCCAGTCATTTACTCAATACGACTGAAGATGTCTTCATGGCGTTTTTTATCTGCAGGTAATGTTTTTGACTTTTTCATAAAATGTTTAAGTTTGACTATCTTGGATTTATTTTGTGATAATTACAAATTTCAAACTCGTTATGCACCATTATAAATAATTAATAATTTTTTACCTTTCTGTTAAATAATATTCTACAGCTATCTTGAATTTGAAATCTGGTATGTATCTAATGATAAAAATACAAGTTTATTATGTGTATTCATGAAGTTTCAATACTTAATTTTATTTCATTATATCTAAGTACTTGTTCAGGTTAGTTGTGTGCAAGTTGATATGACCAGTTTGCTCATTTTAAAGTATTGTTACTGTCATGATGTCAAAGCCATTGTGACTAATCCACTATGCCCAAGAGTTCCCATTCTCCAAAACCTTAACAGTGGTTGTAGGTACCTTTGATAATTGGTAAAAGTGCCAGTATGCACACATTTGGAAGTGTGGTGTTTGACCAGATGTGGAACATACTTGTGCTATAGTTGCAGAGACACTAAAGAAAAATATATTTTTGTGCAAACCCAGATACATATGGGTAGGGTGTTTTGCATCAATATACTGCTTTTTTTTTGCTGGTATGTAATAGTGCTGGTTTTTTTTCCTTACTAGTATGCATACTGACCCACTTTAACCACTGCTCCTGATACATTATTTGTTAAAAGGAAGTGTATGTACCAAATACGTTACTTACAACAAGATATTGTCAAAAGCTAAAAAAATATAATCACTTTAGTAAAATTCAATTATCTTTACAACTGATAGTCTAATTCAGATGCTTCAAGTTATTGTTGTTTTTTTTTCATTTGTATAAATGGGCCTAGTTCAATTTACTTAAAAGAGCATATTAAATATATAGCATTTCAAAAATTAGTGTCAAGACATTTTTTATCTGCACAATTTTTTCTGTATTTCAAAGAAACGAAAGGTTCTTATGAAATATTGTTGTATTTCTTGGGGCACAATTGTTTTGAGTGTGAGTTTGATGGATAATTTTTCAAGGAATTTCCAACTCACTAGATCAGTGGATGTTATTCTTAAAATTTCCATCTACCTCACTCAAAACTGTCAGTGATATATTTTCTTATTTCATATTAAGTAAAATCCTTAAATTTTCAACCATGAACTGAGCCTACCAAATTGTGTGATAACAAAGCTAGATTTAAGAAGTAATTATATCCATATATTTATATGTTCTTTTTATTTTATTTTAAATATCAATCTCTTTGTAATATAGTAGTGGCTCTGGAGGTACTTAATAAAGCCACATTGATAATATTTTAAGTTGTCTCTTGTTTGAAATCAGTGACAAAAAAAACTCCTTACAAAACTTGTTGATGAAAAAAAAAAGTCATACTTAAAAGTTAGCTCAAAAATTAAAAAATCTCTGCTCAAACCAGCGTAAATATTATAATCCTAAAATTTTCTCAAGATGTTTAATTAAACAAGACAACATGTTGTTTCCCAAAGAACTATGCTGTATGTAATTTGCTTTGTTGCTTGTTTTTCCATATCAAATTTTTTGTTTCTTTTGTCTTACTTTCAAAATTTTGCTGGTTTTAATCCTTCTTGTGTAAATATTAATAACCTAGGTTAAAAACATTTGTGTGCTCTCATCTTTTTGTGGTACTTTTTGGCATCATAATGTTGATTAGCATCTTGAATATATGTAGAATACCTTAAATGATAGAAGCTTTCAAGGGTAGAAGTTTACTGTAGGACCACAGCTTATAGCAAGTCATCCCTATCCAAAGATAATGTAGGTATGATTAAGCTTTTTTCCTTTCTCTTGTTTCTGTAAATACAGTTATTTATTTTGTTTTTGTACAGATAAAAAATTTATTTCTAGCTAAAATAAAAACAAGGAAGAAGAAACTTGTTTTAATCCATTTTATTAACTTCACAGGATATGTATGTGTTTTTGTAATTAAATAATACCATTATTATTATTAATTTCTTTTAGTATTTCGTATATCAGACTGTTTGATACTATTAACAGCAGTACATTTGTAAGATTGGAAAATATATTTTTGTACCTTTGGTAGGAAAACATGTCAAATAATGTTCCAATAAAGGCATCATTACACTTACGGTTTATTTGCTTTCCCAATTTTAAATTTTTTATTTTAATATTCAAAAAAGTGTTGGATAACTTGAGACACCATCTGAATACAAAGAATCTCAGCAAACCAAACAAGTTTATAAAACTTGAAGAACAAAATAATTCCAATAATCATAAATAACAACTGCATAACACACAATTCCTAATTTTAAGGTTGTGGGTTTGAATTTGATAAATCACAAATTAATACAATCAGTCTTTCCAGAACTACATTTGAAGAATGTAAGATTATGTATTTTATCATACAAAATACTGGTACATTAACTTCATTTAGATTAGCAGAAAATAACAGGCTAATAAGTTAAAATTATACGGTTAGTAACTGTTTCTAAGTAATAGTGTATTAACTAAAATTATTTAATGTTTATGATTTTGCACCCTTATCTTTATATATATAAAAAGAAAAAAAAAACTTTTTCTCCAAAACGACCTTGATCCCAACTAGTTTGGGGTAGACCGGTATTTTAGAAAGCAAAGGAATTATATGCCTGGTTAGCCATCCCAGATGGCAACCATATAGGATGAGCATGTTCAGTGATGGGGATTTGAACTCACAACCTTTAGTTTGCAAAAAAAAAAAAAATTGTATATAAACATTCCTTTGAAATGCAACTGTAATAATTTTCCAAAACACACGTCACTTAGCTAGGTTTAGTAAACCTCTTGTTTTTTGTTGGCTAGTTACTAAAAAATCAACAAACAGTTTAGGAAAATGTGTGTGTGTGTGTAACATTAACATTGTGAAGTTAGTAATGATTTGTAATTTGGACTCATTTGGAGCTATAGAAAGGCTCCTTTGACTTTAAAATGTATATTAAAACATAAAAAATCATACACTTAGTAAGTCATAAGGGATCTGCTCATTGGGAAATTAAGTTCAAGAATTCAGAGCAAAAGGTCTTGATTCAGGCTTTTCATTTGCTTACAGTAATATGTATATTAAATTTCAGAATTACATGCATTTTGTGTTACACTCATAAAATAAGTCTCAAAATCGGTTGAACTTTTAAAGGATACGACTTGCCAAAAACATCAGTAAGGCAAATATTAAACTAATTTCAAAGTAATCATTTCAAGTCACCTCTTTGTGTTTTTTTTTACCCTAATGAAAACAAACCAAGAGTTTTCACACAACTTTCATAGGTCATAGTTATTTCAACTGAAAGCTCTTTGGCATACAGTCTTTTATAATAAGGAGTTTTAAATTGAATATTATATTGTAAATGAGGCCTCACCAATCTTGTACAAAACAAATCTCACCCTTAAAAATTACAATAAATGAACCTGAAAAAGTGACAGACAATTTCAAGTTTTGAAAATTTTTAAATTATTCCAAAATCTAGAAAAAGATGCCCTTATCACAGAACTTGTGTGCAAAAACTGAAAACGAGACCATATTGCTTAGTTATGCAACTTATTGGTAATTTTAACTTAACTTGGGCAATCACTGTGTTATTATAACTGGTGGTTATTATCTACTTAATTATATTTGGTAATAGGTTACATCAAATATTCTTTTATAGATAAACATTTTGTTTTCTCACCATTAATATTGTTTTCAGTAGTATCGTGGTTTAAGTTATCTATGTTTGAAGGATTTATTACCTTTTATAATCAGATTCAAGCTGGTGTGGTGTTAATTAGATAGAATTATAAAAGGAAGCTTAAATATCAGGGTGCTGTAAGAGTGCACGTGCAGGCCTGCAAATTCAGGAATTTTGCCTGGTAAGTCTTGTTTGTTACATACAAAGCTACACAATGGGCTATCTGTTGTGTGCCTACTACAAGTATCAAAACCCGGTTTTTAGCAGTGTGATCCCTTACTGCTGTGTATAGGGGGCACCTGGTAATTCAGAAAAAGAACTGTTTGTAAGGAACATGGTTACCCTTTACTAGAGCTATATTGTTTTCATTACAAGTGAACAGTATACCAAAATCTGTAAGCACACCTTTTCCACACTAGTGATGTTCTTTTCCATGAGTGATGAATTATGTGAAATTTCAACCCACTGAGGCATCACTTTACTCTTATTATTGAAATACATTTATGTTTTTGACAACTTGGTATTTTCATATCCTTTTAAATTCAAAAAACAGTCTCAACACTATCAGTCTCATTTTACAATCTTGTTTTTAAACAGGTATTCAAATCTCTAAGAAATACTTTAAATGACATTCCTCCAATAAGTAGAAATGCTTATTCTGATACAATAGCTTATTTCCTCTGACAAATAGCTTTTCTTGACTTGTACTGCCCGCTATAAGCACAAATTTTCTCTTACCACCAGCCTTGATACTTTTTACGTATATATCAATTTTATATATAGATAAACAAAGATATCAATTGTACTAGATATTAAAATTGATTGATGATAATTTCATCTATTTTAAAATGAGATATTTCAGTACACGATAGAATAAGTACAATATCTGTATCATTATAGTTTGTATATATATATATAAAATGTAGACAAATTAAAATTACAATAAATATTAGTCAGTTAGCTGATATTGGTGAAAAGTAATGTGTGGGTAAAACTGCTATAAGAAAAAGATGATGTTTCGATAAAGTCAACATTTTCCTACACTGAAAATGTATTTCCTATAGATACTTACTTTCCCTTACAAATATATTTGCTCAACTTATACAGCCATCTGTAGGTCCAAATTTTCACTAGCCACTAGTGTTCACACTTCCACCTACCCTCACATGTATTAACATGAGCAATCTGCATGATATATTGCAGCAACTTTTCACCAATGGGAGTGCGACACAACTCCTATCGTAACTAACGCCCACTCTTTTGTACAGCCTGTTATCACTTTTCGACTGGCAGTCCTAGTGTTACAATATGATTTCGATCGTGCTTTCATACTGATTGTTTATTTTTTCGAATTCACATAGATTAATTGTATCTTCGTTTTTTTATTTACTAGATCATTATTGTCTGAAGATAAATTCAGAGTTATTTGTATTGGCTGTTATTTTCCAGCACCAACAGGAGATTTTCCTTGTATGATATATGATGCTAAATTTACATCTAACTGAACAGCTTGTTTTCCCAAGGCTAATGCCCCTTTCTTCAGAAAAGGTATGGCAGAATATAAGAGTTACTCATTACATTTCCTAATCCATGACCCCATTGCCATTGACTACCAGCAAATTAAGATAAACTATTTCCCAGTTGGTGATCATCATAGGCGGCTGATTCGTAATGGTAAGGTACTCTCATGATATCACAGGTGACGAAAATGTAGTGTTACGATGACTCTCCCGTGTTCAAATGGAATAGATTGACCCACGTCATCGCTTATATCGATCTCAATAGTCTGAAAACGTCATTCAGAAATGGGTTTTTAATGAGGATTTCTAAATGTTTCAGCAATCATGTTTCGATCATGAACTTTTAACTTGAATGATTTGTAATAGTGGTACATGGGCATCACCTACAATACTAGGTTCCACAATATTTGAGTAAACGTAGAGTTATCGACGGACTCGCATCGCTAGAAACCAGGTTTCAATACCCGTGGTGGTCAGAGCACAGATAGCCCATTGTGTAACTTTTTGCTAAACTACAAACAAACAAACATAGAGTGAATAAAATCCACCATGCATATTAACAGTATGTGGAGCTATAGTGGGCTCCGATTTCATATGATTAATATCAAATCCGAGTAGTACAGATAATGCAGGACCGAATAATATGGATTCCATCTTTCACATTCACACTAACTTTTCTGGTGAATGAATCATAGCTAAATACAGGATCTTTGTCGGATTCATAATGCAATTTTACTAATTGATTTAGCATTCTAATTAAATCCTCAGGCTCTTTTTAATGACCTGGTCTAATACAAATTATTTTATTGTGAGCTTCAGAGCCAGGAAAGAGTGTACTGTCATGTACATTGCGCCAACTATGCAGATACCATAGTTCAGCCAAGGCCACTTCACACGAGCCTTTGAGGTTATAGATCTTGGAAAATGTGTGATATAATTCACCTCAAAATGCCCTTTTGTTGCAGTTGCCTCCCTCCTTATTGTGTGATTTTTGCATGGCTCCTTTACTGTGGCAGGAGGTTATTGGAGGCATTCCCAACTCTTTGGAAATCAGAGTTGAATTGGCCTGGTTGCATACTTTTACCATTGGCCTCCTGTTTCTCCCACCCCCTCCTGAATCTGTTCCTTTGTCTTACCCTCCTCTTACCTTTCTCATTCCAGCTTCTAATATTCCTGAGGATTGCTGTCAGTACTTGTAGCACCCACATAGGGACAACTGATTATCTCAATGACTGCATGGTGAGTTTAGGTCCTGTGGTGGTCAGGCCCCTCGGCTTTGTACACATCTGGTGGTACTTTGGCTAAGGATCATTGGGTTTTGCAGGTTTTATTGAGGGTCTAGTCCTTCATTTCAATTTCCCTCCTTCATTGTCCCAGCATCATTTTTCCTTCCCTTCTCTTCAGGATCCAGTTTCCACCCAGCATCTTTCAGTGGCAGACCAAGACTTGCTTCACAAGGATGCCATCAAATAGGGGATTTCTCTCATCTGAGGTTTTACTTCTCATCTGTTTGTTGTCCCTATAAAGACCTAGGATTGACACAGTATCAGCACTTTTTTGGCTCTGGACCATTCCTTGAGTTTACATTATTTCACCACGGAGTTATTCTTGTCCTTTGGATGAGTTTTCACTTCTGGTCTATGGTAGATGTTTTGGAGAAGTACCTTCACCTTCTCATCTCCCCTGCATCCTGACATTGCTTTTGTTTTGTTCATTATTTCTATTGGTCTAAAGCATGTTATGATATGATTAAATGTTTAGATGGAAAAGGAAGAGTAACACGAGCAAGTAAAAGAAGGATCTGTCTTTTCAAATATGTATGGAAAGCACAACAGAATAGAAGTGAAAAACTTTCTCTTAAAGAATGTAAGTAAAGACTTGAAGATATTTATATTCAAAACTGGTATTCAG